TGAAAAGGTTTCAGTTCTCCCGGAACTTTAACCTCCACCACCACCACGATACTACCCGAAAGGACAGTCCACATGAGCAGATTGGAGTGAACTTCAAGTGCTCCGGCTCCCCTTGCTATCAGAATTAGGTCTCCGGTCAGACCTTGTAGCCGAGACTACTACCAGTTGAGTTTCCACACAGCTCTGGGCTAATGGCCAGGGGTGGTCCCCTGGAAAAAATGCATTCAGAGGCCCATGCCCCGTAAGCAGACAACCCAGACTCAGATAAAATCTGAAGTCTGGGTTATCCTGAACAAACCCAACATCCCTAATGTACTCATAAGTTACCCGGTCGTTAGGACTATTTTTCCAACGTTCTTGCCACTTACATCTGACCCTATCATGTAGACCCTATCATGTAGAGCCTCCCTTCCTCTCCACAACATCATCGGAAATTCAGTCATTTCTCAGCAAAGACACTCTGAAGCCCCTTCTTAACCTGAATGCAACAGCACGCTAAATGACAATTAGGTCAAGAGGTCGTAGCTGCTGTACATCTGTCAGTCTGCACTTAAACAGCATTGTCACCATTTTTCCCATCGGTATGTCTACCCCTATACCAAAACCCCAAGAATTTACAATCCCAAAGAAATGACCTCCCGCCCGCTCTAGCTCAGACCGCGAGCAACCTTCGACCAGAAGAAGGTCGTCCGCAATGCACAACACTTACATAATGGCTCGATATGCTCAAGCAGAGAATTAATCATAATGTTCCAAATATATGGACCACAGATGGAACCCTGGGGGCAGCCACGGACTGTTCCATTCTCCACACTCCCATTCATGCCGCCTAGAGAAGACTTTCTGTTAAAAAAGTAATACCGCCAAAGAGTAATTTCCGCACAGCCAAGATCCTCTAGCTGTTGCACCACTCGATTCCAACTTAGGTAGACAAACGCTCCTTTGATGTCAACAAATGTGTCAAAGATATACTTGTCTTCTAGCCGTTGTACCAACCGATTTCAGCTTCGGTAGTCAAACACCCCTTGGAAGTCAACAAATATGTCAAGGACATACTGACCAGCCTGACCACCTCTGGTCCGACCACATACCCCGAGTTAGCTCGTGAAGCCGTTAAACCACAACTATTTCCAGCACTTTTCCAAGAACTGTAAGCAAGATTGATGTCCCGATAAAAACAAGGATCGCTCCTGATGTTACCAGGGGACTGCAGAAGAGGAACAACCCTCGCACTTTTCCACTCGAGTGGAAAAAGCTCCCCCCATACGCATTTATTGTAAATGGCCGCCAGGTATTCCGGGATGAACTTCCACAAGCTTTTGCACATCTCTCTATTCAAACCATCAAAATCTGTGGACCGTTTAGACCTAACCAGGCAAAAGATGTACCCCAACTCCCTATCATCAAGTGGAGGGGCAGGTACCTCTTGACTTGAGATAACTGATTCTCCGCCTTAGCACGCTCTTAATAAAACCCCCGCACACTTTAGTTATTGATATCTGTGTGGATATTTTGAAACCAAATGTAATCAAGAAAATTAAAATCTACAAGTTAATATATGAAATTTGTATCATATTGCATTTACGAAGATAAAAAGATATAAAAATTATCATCAGCAAAATTCTAACGTAGCACATATAAGATCAGAGTGATAAAACACAAATTTTATACATATAATTATTATGATTTAGCACTTTTACTAAGGTTTTAGCAATTGATCTCTAAAGCTATCTGTGATGACCACAGTACTTTCGACATTTTGAAACCAAAGATAATTATAGAAATTAAAACCTACAAATAAACATACGCATTTTGTATTATATTGAGCATGGTACAAGGGAGTAGAGAAAGTCCCATTCACCGTAGAAAAAGAGCCATTCACAGTCCTTAACCTACCCCCAAGTGTACGTTCACAATAAAAACATCATGGCCACCTCTGGTGAATAAGGGTGACGAGAGGTTGAAACGGGCTGCGTAAAGCAAAAATGCTTTTATATTAAATTATAAACTTACAGTATTATATTTATTCATTACAGTATTTATAGTTTTAAATTTTGCTTATAGAATGAAATTTAATGCTGTTATCAAAAGATTTAATTATATCTTCTTGATATAAATAAATATGCGTAAATAATTTTAAGCGTTTTAGTTAACTTATTCATGAACAAATTGGAAATTATTTTTGATAATGAGTGGACCAAAAGAGATAACTATTGTCGAAAAATTTGGTATTACATATCGTACTAATTCGTCTAAATAGTAAAATACAATTTTAATGTAAGATAAATCAAGAGATAATTATAATAGCCATATTTCTTATATTTAAAGCATACATTTTAGTAATCACAAACTACTTACACTTTTTATGTCTCAGAATTTAGCTATACGCCGGCAATCAGGAATCCTACTAGTTCAAAATGGAGTGTTTGACTTTCCTAACAGATTTACCATATTATTTTTTAGTTCTAATCTAATTTTATAAATAAAAAGGATTCTTAAAGGAATTATTTTTTTAATATATGTATGTATATAGTACTAAAAAGGAGTTTAAATTAGCTTACACAACACTATTTTGTCATGCTCAATCGCAATACTGGCATAATATTTGAAAATAATCAAGCGCATTTTAAAAGTAAGTTATTTAAGTTTTAAATATAATTATTACTTTATTATTATTTTTACAGATTAATTTGTTTCCCATTCGCGTTCAGATCGATCGACAGGTTAGTAKTCTATAAATTAAATTATAGCCAAATACTAATTGAAACTTTTTTACAGAAGGAAAATGCCTCGCAAGTGCGTGTTRGAGTGCAAAGGCTCGTTACGTCTACACAAATTTCCTGGGGAGCGAGAAATGCCTAGGTATGTAGAATGTTTAATTTTATTTTCTTGTTTATATATGTATTTATCAAATGATATTGCATAAAAGACGGAGTTAAACAAATAATTGTGCAAATTTTTTAAACAAATGCAAACGTTACCATTCATACGTTGGACATACCCAAAATAACTTTTTAATTTTATATACAATATAAGACTAGTGAAATTATATTTAAATGCTGGTTAAAACTGGATTATATCAGTAGCAGAACAGTAGCAATGAAACACTCAATATCAAATTTTTGTAACATACGTTATTTTGCATATTGGGTGCATATATAATAAACAATTCAATACAGTGAAAATTTCATTGACGAATAAAGGCGAACACGTTTTTTTGGGATTGTGAATATATGCCGTACCTCCTATCACATTTCAAATATTATTATATTGATTTAT